AGAGTGTTCCATCTCATTTCCCTTTGGGGTTGCTGTAGGTGATCTGGAAGTCTGGTTTTGAGACTTATTTACATGTTTTCTCATTTTGACTGGGAAGGCAGTGTGGGTGCTGTTGACATCCACGTGGCTCACCTCCTCTGAGCTGGGAGAGGTGGGCCAAGGGCTGGGAGTGGCAGTAGGGATGGTGGCCTGAAAGCCCCTTCCCCTGGGGTGGGAGCAGCAGGATGTTTAGAGGCCCAGAAGCCCCTTCCTCTGGACCAGGAGCAGTGGCATGGTGGCTCAGAAGCCCCTACCTCTGAGCCGGGAGTGGCAGGATGGACGGCAGCCCAAAAGCCCTTTCCTCTGGGCTGGAAGTGGTGGGAGGGATGGTGGCTGGGCAGCCCCTTCCTTTGGACTAGGAGCAGTGGGACAGCGGCTCAGAAGCCCCTACCTCTGGGCAGCAATTCTTTGAATGCTGAGAACTTGATTAGCTCTAGTACAGTGGTCTTGTGGTCCAGTGTCCTCTGCGTCTTTGTAGTGTGGAACCAGGTGGCTGTACAGAGAAGAGGCCAAAGGAGTGGGGGGGGGCGGGGGTCCGGTGGATTGCTGCCAGGGCGTGGGTTGATTCAGTGTTTTCAGCACAACTGGCGACCTCAGGACCACGTCCGCAGACCTGCCTGTCTGCAGCGGGCTGATTCAGTGTTTTATGTGCGACTGGCCAAGAAATGCAAATTAGAACACTGAGATTCCATCATTCCAGAAAGAATGGCATCATCAAAAAATCAACCAATACAAATTCTGGTGAGATTGTGAGGTAAAAAGAAACCCTTTTACCTTTTTTGGGGGGAAAAAAAGAACCAAGATATATTATGTACAAGTACAAATTCCCAATGTGAATGTGATCAAGATGTATGACAAATATGTACTAATAAAAAGAAAAGGAAAGGGAAAAAAAGAGTATGATTTGCCTGTTTGAGGGAGACTGCCTGAAGGGGATTCATCTGATGGGGCCTCATTTAATAACTTGCAAAACTTGATAGAACGGCTTTGTCTGTTAGGCTCCCAGATAGTCTTCCCAGCGTCCTTTTTGTGTTGCTTTCCCACTTTGTGTTGAACTTTGGTCCCCTAACCAGCTTCTCCATTCACTAGAATGGCTCTTGACTTGATTGCAAATTAAAATTCTTGAAGGGGTAGTTTGCTCCAATGGTTTTTCAATGACTACGCTATTGGTAGAGATTTTAATGATTACCACTGCTCCAAATTTCTGTAGGCATTTGCACTTTTGAAATGATTAGGATTACTGTTCACTGAGAAGATAATATATAATATAGATTATTTCCTTTGGTGTTTATGTAGATTTTTTTACAGGGAATACAATGAAAAGGGAGTAAATTGCTACCTTATCCTTTTGGATCAGAGCCCATTTCAGAGAGATTTTGGGGATGTGACTCCAACTTTGGCTCTCACTTTAGCCATTTAGAAGCATTTCCCCCTGAGTCACTAAAGGGCTCTTAGAGCCATAAAGTGTTCCAAGCAGCTATGAATTCTTAATGAATGACAAAATTTGACTTTTAATTTGAGGTAATATTCTTGTGCTGGGAAATGAGAAGTAAGGAAGGGGAAAGCAAAACAAAGTTTTTGAAGGTTAAAATCGCAGTTCTTTCTTTTCCTTCCCATTTATCTTTCTCTCTCTTGTTTTCCTTCATCAAAATTCAATATAGTGTCCTGGCACAATGGTGCATACTTTTAATCCCAGCACTGAGGAAGGCTGAGGCAGGAGAATTGCAAATTGGAGTTCCCCCTGGACACCTCAGTGAGATCCTATCTCAGAATAAAAAATAAAAAAGTCTGGGGATATAGCTCAGTGGTAGAGTACCTTACAGTTTGATCTTGAGAACTGAAAATTTCAACCTAGTTGCATAGTAGCAGGTAGAAGGGAGCACTGGACAGAATTACTGTCCAATTATGATCGTCATTATCACAATAGAGATGTTCATTAAACATTCCAGTTCATGATCATGACTCCAAAACTGTTGAGTCATGGGACTCTCCTTACAAGTAAATCTTTTAATAAGAATCCTACTTTATGTACTTGTTTACAAATTATCTGGGCTGTTTGGTGGGATTTAGGGAAGCAAAATCAAGTCCTGTGGCGGACCAGCCGTCACCAGTCGAACAGTTCCTGAATGGGGGAAAGGAGGACTGAGAAAAATCAAGAGAAGAGACAGAGTCGGGAGGGCTCCCAAGTCTGAGCAAGCAAGTTTATTTTCACCTCTCTTTTATACACTCAGTGAGTTAGGTCATTAACCATGATCTTTATCCAAAACACCTGCTTCGTTGTTTGCTAGTTTTCTAGACACTCCTCGCCCTCATGGGCTACTTTGTTTCCTGGGGTTACAGAAGGTTCACCTTGTTGCTAGGGCAAACTCTAAAGGGAAACATCGGAGTTAGTCTCCACGGTTCCCCATTACATAGTCTCCTGGCTATTTATAACAAAGGGTAAAATTAAAATGAAGCTTTTTGGCTGACACCGCTCCCCACAAAGTCCAATTATTATTATTATTTTGTTGCTGTTTGTTTTTTGGTTTTTTTGGTACCAGGGATTGAACTTGGGATCTTGCACTTGCGAGGCAGGTGGTAGAACCACTGATCTAAATCCCCAGCCCTCCAATTATTATTTTTAAAAAATCTTTTCTCATGCCTCATTTTATTTTTACAAGTAATATGTAAAAATATCATGTAAAAATTTGTCCCATCTCCTCTGGTACACATGAAGGACCATGGCTTGCAGTTTTCTGGCAATCCTGAAGCAATTGATTGATGCTTGCTAGGATATGATTTATACCTTCCATAAGGAAATCAATACAGTAAAGTAACCCACAGGGAAAAACTGAGCATTAAGTCTTCGTTATGTGCAGCAGCATCTTTGTGGCTCCTCTGTAAGTGAGATCATGTGTGACTTCATTGAAGAAATGGCCCACTCCTCTATCCCTTAATGGAGAAAATGGGTTTTATATAGCATGTAAATCACACTCCTCTCTAAAAGTGCATTGATGTAACCAAATTTAGTTCTGATCTCCTGTTTAATATGTTTTTAAAAGCAGCAGGAGAATTCAAATGTAGATGCCAAAATCAATTCCTGTCATTCCACAGGACTGTTAACAGGTTTCATTGCAAAATCATATTTCTTTATATTCAAATCTGATGTTTGAGGCTATGAAACTGTTTACCTTTGTTTGTTTTTTTTAAATCAGCTTACTGACATGTTTTGATGGATGCTATAAAATCATATCCTCTATTACCAGGTATTCATGTTTCTTAAATTTGATTTTAATCCACTTTGCATACATAAACTATCAAATAAAAACCTAGAATTTCACAGTAAAATTTTGCCTTGTAAGTGGGTGCCACTTTCTGCTCCTTACTACAGGTTCCCTCTTGCTGACAGCTCAGCAAATGATGACCATGAAAAGTGGATTGGGAGTGAAAATACTTGGCAGTAAGACAGAAGGTCACTGGAGTGGTCACTAATGTATCCTTGGGTGATGGCAGGGAAGAGACAGGAGGAGAATGTCAGAGAGCCAGACACAATGTTAGATGATTGCAAAAAGAGTAAAAAATATTAATGACACAAAACAAGAGAGAATGAGGATGCTACTGAGTAGTGTGAGCTTCTGTGTATGGAAGGAAGAAAGGCTGCCCAAAGGTGTCCGTGGTCTAAAACCCAGAACCTACAAATAAGGTAAAAGGGGCTTTGCAGTTGGGGCTATGAGCCTTACAAAATGGAAATCATTCTAGAGCTATACCAGGTAGGTCTAATCTAATCGCAGCAAGTGATTTAAAAGCAAGAACTTTAAAAGCAAGAACTTTCTGCAGGTGGGAACAAGGAAGGCTCTGCAGAAGGACAGGTTAGAGAAATTCAAAGCATAAACTACTCTTGCTGGATTTAACAATGATGGAAGTCAAAACCCAGGGAACATGGTGGCCTCTAGAAAGTGAGAAAATCTGCTGGCTAGCTGCTAGCAGGAAAACAGGGACTTCAGTTCTTTGGCCACTTGGAACTGAATTGCATCTAAAACCTAAAGGATCCTGGAAGCAAATTCTCCTCAAGAACATTTGGGTCAGCTGACTTTGATTTTGGCCTTTTAAGATCAGAGCAGAGAAGCCAGCCAACCTCCCTGAACTTCTGACCTACACGATTGTGAGGGATACATGTGTGTTGCTGTAAACTGGGAATCTTGTGATAATATTTACAGCAACAATGAAAATCAGTGCAAAAGGCAAAAAAGGGTGATTGGAAAAAAGCTGAGAAATTCAGCTCAGGAGTGGCCATGGGGAGACAGGCACCAGTGGTAAAGCCTGTGGACTTGGACAAGCAGAAGTTCAAATTGCAGCTCTGACACTTACTAGATGTGTAATGTTAACTCAGGACACCACACCTTTCAAAGACCTGATCTCTTCCTCCTCTCTACACTGGAAATAACAGCATCTTCTTCACTAGCTGCAATGAGCTTCAGTGAGGTAATGCCTGGCACAGAATCAGTGTTGTAGTATGCTTTAATGAAACATCACCGTAATTCTCTTGTCTCTGAAATCCAAGGACAGGTGATAGTAGACAGACTTTACATGAAAGAAGTCACAAAGTAGTGCCGTCAAAAAGAAAGCCAGGTTCCAGCCAAAGCCTAGAGATGGAGAAAATATGCTCAGAAAAGGGGCTGAAGCAAGTGGAAAGCCAGGTGTACCTCAGAGCAGCCTTCTCAGGTGTGCATGCTCATAATGTCCACCTGGAGATCTAGGTATAGTGCTCACTCAGCAAATGGGCTGGGACTTGAGTTGCTGCATTTCCACCAAGTCCCCACATGAGAGACGTGCTGCTGGGCTACAGACCCCACAGTGAGTAGCAAAGAATTAGAATACATGAGAGAAGAAAGGTTACCCTCTCTCACGATGCTGTTGGAGGGAAGATGATAGGAAAGGAATGAAGAGGCGTCACAAGTGACCCTTACTGGGCTGTCAGAAGCAGTGCAGGCTCACTGTGTCTTCTGGGAAGGCTCCCTTCCTTGGCATTGTCCATTTGCAGTGGCAGGAACGAGCCCACATGTGTGCCTGTGTACTGTCACGTCCTCCCGGCACAGATCTCTTGGACTTCCCCATGGCTTCTGTTCTCAGAAAGCCCATGTGGCAGGATGCTGGCTGCACAACTTCAGGGAGCAGGTCCAGCCAAAACTTGAAGCCAATTTACCTTCTCCATGCTGCAGAGTTGCGGTGGGCATCCGAGTTGAGATAGGTAAGATACTTTTTTGAAAATATTCTTAGCTAGGCTGGGCCTGGTAGTGCATTCCTGTAATCCCAGCACTTGGGAGGCTGAGGCAGGATGATCATAAGTTCGAGGTCAGCCTGGGCTGCATAATGAGTTCAAAGCCAGGTGGGACTACAGAGCAAGACCTTGTCTTAAAAAAAAAAAAAAAAGAAAAGAAAATATTTTTACCAATAATGTGAGGTTTTGTCTCCACCCCTTCATATCTGTGATCTCGTCTTGTTCACATAGGGGTTTTGTTTTGTTTTTGTTATTAAACTATAGAAGTGTTTACATGTAATATATAGGCATAATGTTCTTCATTCTTGTCTGAAATACAGTAGACCCTCAAGTTACAACCGGCCCAACATATGAACAACTTGGGTTAATTAGGTTAATAGAAGAATCATCTGCCTCTTGTTATCTATAGTGCCTACCCTGGTAAACATCCAGATCTCAGCTGTATCGACTTAGTTACAAGCAGCCCTTGGCCAAGAAGTTCATAAATCAAGGGTCCACTGTATATAAGCATATCTGCCATCTCTGAGGTCCCAGAACAGAAGGTGTTAAATCTTCTCTCTTCCTCATTATCATTTTCATAAGGAAATGTCACTGGTTATAACTTCAGAAGGTAACCTTTATGGGGAAAGATCTTGAGCCCTGCTGGTGTGGAACGGTCTCCAGTGTGAGAAACTCATTTTATTTGGTCACAGATGCTGGTTTCAGATGTGTATGCTCAAGACTCTGGCCCCAGAAATTTGGTAGCCATAGGGCCTTGTGGCCTGATCTCAGGAAAGATCAACTCAACCTGAAAAATGCCATCTACCTTCAGAGGAGTCTTTAATTGGAGAGGTACAAGCAAGTGTATCTGGAAAGTGATCTAGAAAAATTAACACAGGTTTTTGTGACTTGAAAAATAAATTTTAAAAAAGTGTAGAGTCTGTAATACAGACTTTCCTCAGACATCATATTACAGTGACACATGTTTATAGCAGCACAATTCATAATAGCTAAATCTTGGAAGTGGCCTCTATGTCCATGAACAAGTGAATGGATAAAATGTGGTATTTACACACAATGAAGTACTACTCTGCCATAAAGATAAACTTGAGTCATATGTAAGAAAATGGATGCACCTTGATACCATAATGTTAAATGAAATAGAAACACAAGCTTAAATATCGCTTGGTTTCTCTTATATAAGAAACACAAAACATAAAGAGCAAGGTAAAACAGATAATAGGAAAAAGGGAAACCTTGTACAAAATGGAAGGGAACCAAAGATGGAGGAAGAGAGGAGGGAGGGGAGAGGGGGAGTATCAACAATCAGTGCAACAAAGTTCTTCCTCCAAAATAGAGGAAATCCTGAAAAAATGGACAGAGCTACAAACATTTGTAGAGAAGACCCACCAAGACAGAGAAGAAGTCAATCATTGCATTCACTTGCTTAATGACAATATCATGTCATACCACAGAGCAGTGTTTAAGAAAAGAGAGAAACAGGTAACTTTAGACCAGATTTTAGTTGTGAAAAGGTTGAGACCTAGTGAGCCAGAAGTAGGTCTCAGTGAGCTACAGATTCTCCCAAGGAGAGAAAGGACACCAGAGAGCCAGATTCCTGATGTTCTTATGGAAGAGGACTCTCCTTCCAAACAATAACCACCTTCCATTTCATCCTCCCTTCCTGCAAGCCAAAGATGTCAACTTGAATGGTGAGTACAGTATGAAATGGTTATACAATATGCAATGGTGAGTATAGTATGAAATGATTGTTTCTGGTAAACTAGGCACATTTTACAACTTTTGGGTGAATACAGTGGGAAAATTATTGGTGTCTCTAGTAAATTACACACGCTATATAACCCTTTTTATTATGAAAATGTTAGTTAAGGGGTGGTTTGGGAGGTTTGGAATGAATTGTGGGTATTTCTATTATATCTTATGGGAAAAAAGTCTTGACTTACAACCAACTTAAGTTACAACCAGCTCTTGCAAATGACTTGAGTTCACAAGTCAAGGGTCCACTGTAAATGAATTATTGTATCCAAGGAGGTCACATTTCTTTGGATATAAAAATCCTATTTCCAAAATGGTTGATTTAAAAAGGAAGAACCTGTTTTCAGCAGTATACTAGGTTTTTCTGGTTTACTCTCTATTTGAGTTTTAGAATTAAATTGTACTTATTTCTTACTTTTATATAAATAATTCTGGCTAAACATTTCATTATATCACTATTTTCAACTTGTAGTTTCTCTTATAAGCATGTCTATTCATAGCCTTTACCTATGTCTATTCATAGTATTTACCTGTTGGGTATTGGCATTGTATAGTTTTAAGCTGGATTTATTCATTCTATACAAAGTTGATGCCTGGTCTATGTAAAGAACATTGATGGATTCTGGAGGCTCAACAGAAAAGAAGATGCTGTAGCTGTGTTTTATCCTTGACACCTTTCCTATCCTATCTAGATTCATTTTATTAGTATTATTTACTGACATCGCTTCTTAAGGCTTTTTCCCTTTTCCCAAGTGACTCTTAGGATCATCATCATCAATTCTATTTTAAAAAATTTATTCTAGGGGCCGGGGATTTAGTTCAGTGGTTCTGCCACCTGCCTTGCAAGTGGAAGGATCCGAGTTGGATCCCCAGTACCAAAAAAAAAAAAAATTTATTCCAAATGCAGTCACTCACCATATCATTCTTTTCCCTAAAAATAGATTTGGATTGATATTACAATCAAACATATCTACTGTCCTCAATTTGAGATTTATACTTTCAAATAAAATTTGATAATTTTATGTAAAATATGTCCCTTGTTAAGTTCTTAATATTTCATACATTTTAGTATAATTGAGAACAGAATGTCTTTGTATACATTTCATAATAATTATCTTGATGAAATTAACACAACCATCATCACGTGTAGTTAGGTGTACTTGTGGTGGACACTTAAAATCTACTGTTAACAAATCTCAGGTAAACAATTAAGTATTGTTAACTATACTTACCATGCTATAGTCAGAACCCCAGAATTTACTCATTTTATAACTGTTCCATTTGACCAATATTTCTCCATTTTTCCCTTCTGCCCCTCAGGGGCCCCAGTCCCTTGCAACTACTGTTCTATTTCTGTGACTTTGACTGTTAGGTTCCATGTGAGTGAGATCAGACAATATGTACTTTTTGGTGCCTGAATTATTTTCTTTAGCTTCATATCCTTCAGGTTTATTCATGTTGTCACAAATGACATTATTTATTTCTTTTCAAAGGCTGAATACGTCATGATATAATTTCCGTAATACCTGTGTATATCAAAGTTTCTTCCATTTATCCATGGAGGGATGCAGATCTCTCTTCATGATACTTGTTTCTTTTCTTTGAAGATATAACCAGAAGTGCGATTGCAGACTCCTGGAATTTTAATTTTAGGGTTTTTTCATACTATTTTCCATAATGCCTATATCAATTGACATTCCTACCAACAGTGTACAAGAGTCACTCTAACTTGATGCTTTTGCTCTTTCAAGGATTAGACTACTACTGTCTGTGACTAATTTTCCCCACATGCATTTTCTTAGTGTTTTTTTATATCTATATCAGTTAGAACTTTGGTCATAGATATAGATGGTGGAGATCATGTTTGTTTTGATCTTATTATTTTAAGAATTCCACTTTCACTATATGATTCTTAGTTTGAAATTATCTGGCTAATGTATTTTCTTATTTCTAGGTAACAATTTTTATTCAATATACACATTACATTGTCAAAATCCGTTAATATTTTAAGTGCTTAAGGATTTGTAAATTTAACAGAGTGATATGCTACAGTAATAAATTTTATGATGAATGGGTGGGATACATTGTTACAGAAGACTACTTTTTATAATGTCCAATTCTAATTTGCCAGATTTTTATTAGTAACTTTGAGATACGGATATATGTTAGAACAGTGTAGTTCTCTTTTTGTGTTGCCCATACAGGAGAAACTTCTATTAGCTTCTGATATCTTTTGGGGATTTTTGTTTTCTATCTTGGAAAAACAAATGAGACTGACCACTTTTGAGAAGGATGTGGTCAGTTACAGCAGCCTTTGCCAAATTTGAACGGCTGAGTACTGTGAAGAGAGAAGAAAACAAGTTACAGATTTTTTTATTCTTAATGATCCTTTATTTGAAGAGTTTGAATTTTTTGGAAATGTGGGTAAAGGAAAGATTGTTGTCTCTCAGTTTCCTAAACCAAGAGTTTTGTTGTCCCTGAGTGGGTCATAACCTTTCCTTCCTCTTATATAGTTAATCCCTCATTTCCCTGAGGATGATGAGTATTTGCTATCCTAATTGTGGTGCTAATCTCACAGATGAATACATATTTCAAATTTTATCAAATTGTTCACATTAAATATGTGCAATTTTGTGTGGTTTCAATTAGGTCTCAGTAAAGCCAACCTTTAAAAAATCTTGATTTCTCAGTGAAGTAATATGGATTGAAAAAGGAGAGGAAAAATGTCTATAAGGGAAACAGGGAGGCCATGGAAGGTGGGTTAATAAGATAGTGTTAACAAAACCTCTTGTTTAAATATTTCAGTGATCCCTCATTCTCTTACAAGGAATCATTGTGTATTTCTAGAGTCCCCTTTCTGTATATTTATTGCAAGGTATTAAGAGCTTAAAATTTTAGAGGATTTGAGGGGTAGTCGGGTGTAAAATGTATTAAACTCTTACAGAAAATGTATGCAAACTGTTCTCGTGTTCTTGTAAAGCAGGGCAGAATGATAGCAAGAGTATAACTACACAAGGTCTATAATAACACTTTTATACATTCATTATTGTACCTAACATGTTTTTGCTATCAGTTTTAAAACTAAATTACATAGTTACTGACTCAACTATATGATATAATTCTCAGGAAATGCAATGATGAATGAGTTAAGTTACTCCTTTAGGTTTAAGTAATATAGTAAAAATGATTTTTTAAGGAAAAAAATGGCAGGTAAT